CTCATTTATAACATCGAAATTTATCTTTCTGAGTAGTGCGAATCGAAAAAGATGAGTGGTGAATGCAACTGTCTTTGATGTACACTGTGCAATACCACGATATCTGTCTTCATTTTAACTACGTGATATGTACTGCTATTTCATTAGTTGGATTAAAGTGACAATAACCTTTACTCAATATATACACTCCCTGATATGGAATGAACCTGGGATTCAACAAAAGGAAAAGAAGAGGAAGGACTAACTCAACTGAAGACAACAAAGTTTTGATGTACCACCTACACATATAAAAATAAGCCATAATATTTAGACCAGCAGTGTTTAGCGAATAGATTACTACTTGAACTTACTAATAATGCGAAGAAAGTCATTGAAATGGACGTGGCTATTTTGAAAGGCATCTGAAGTTTCTATAAGAAAACAAATCCAAAGGAAATTACATTAATATAGAAAGGTATAAAGGAATCTGAATTGGAGCACATAAGTTATCCATATTATGAATATATATGTAAAGCAAAACGAGTGGTTTTAGTAGAATACGATAAAATCGTTTAACTTTTGGATCTAATTCTCATCAGCCTTATACGGATGAAAAGTCCTATTATTATTTACATACACAAGGATATTCTTTCTAAAGTGCTTTCAAAGATAATATTGTGTCAGAAAAAAAGGGATTCGGAATTTAACAAAATGGTCTCAGAAGTTAAACTTGAACAGCTCATACACTGAAGAATCATTTAGAGACAGCTACACATTGAGGAAGGAGTTACTTTATAACATGGTGACTTCGCCTCCATCAGTGTTTCCATTACATAACGCATTTTCCCCACACTGACCAATTTCGTTTCCAGAATTATCATTCAAAATTCTATGCATATGATTTATATGCGTAGCTCTTGACCACAGTCTCCTGTAAACTGTTATTATGATACTCTCACAAACACGTTGAAAAATGATTTCGTATACGCTGTTGACGAGGAATAGACCAGGTAAGTGATATGATAAATATTCCACTCAAATCACTTCTATTGCTCTATTGAAATGAAAAAAGGTGGATGATAAGTTTCGTTTCATTTCTGTTTTTAATATCAAATGGTTTCGATAAACAAAACTATCGTCAAACGTTCTTGGGAGGGGAGCACGTATATGTCTCCGAATGTTTCACTCCAGGAAACAGCAGCTGAGTCACTTTGCAAAGTTTTGTTGGAAGTTAAAATCAACATATTCTTCTATCAGAACATTGTAATTACCCTTCAGCCAAAGCAGACCTTTGTTTATGTCATCTGTGCAATTTCCCGGAAATACAACAATGTCTACCCGGGTGACATGAAGGATAAACATGTGTATTCACACATAGTGTTCTCACTTCCTCTGGCTGCCTGGTTGCCGTTGCAATACAATAATTTGTCAGAATTTGTAGAATGTGAAGGGAATTTTACATCTCTATTCAAAAATAAGACTCAATGACCAAATGGAGGAGACTACAGAGGTGAAATTATCGAGAGATGGTCCTGGTTAACCTCTGGGTTCTTATGCTAAAATATTATTAAATAAACTAAAGCCAAACCCTCAAGTAAAGTTATATTCTGACATCCTAGTATTCCTAAAACTTCTACTATGCTGTTTGAGTTTATTTCTGCTAACGGATCTAAGCAATGTCCTGATTGGAGGGAACTTGATTTTCAACTTTTAACAAACATTAAACAAAATCATATCTCCATCCTATTTTATGATTAAAAAATCAACACTGTAAGAAAATTATGAATAATAGGCGGCTCTAATAAATACCTGACGTGATCTAAGATTAGACTCACAGACAGAGACTGAGTATATCTCATTTATGTTTTTAAATAATTACAATTTAAAACAGTTAGTCCCTTTTATAAATTTTGATAGCATTATTAGAAGACGGAGATTATCTGAAAAATGTGATGTATTAGCGCTATACATTTCAAACAATCTGATCACACATTTACTTGTCAAGTCAATATATATGGAAAAGTTAAATTAAACAAGGTGACAAAAAAAGAATTAAGAATAATTAACACAAACGTTTGGTAATCCAATCAAATAAGGATTACCAAGGTAGGTTAAGAGTAATAACAAACTGTTTTTGAATACACAAGGGGGGCTTAAGTTTATGAATGGCTATAGCCTCAGCGTATTTCAGTAAACGTCCTTGACCGTTTTTATAGATGACCTTAAAGGCTGAGTTAACATCAACCTTATGGTTCATCTCGATTAAATGTTTAGCTATAGACGAAGTTGGTAGTCTGACACCTGCATCTATGGGCTTGTCACAATTCATCTGTTTTTCTAACCACTTTGGGATATGCTCTCCCACCCTCACGTGCAACGCGCGATTACTCCTCCCTATGTATGTATGTCCACACACACACGAAAATTGACTTGACTGCTAAGGATAAACATTCAAGAGCAGTATTATCCTGCATTATTTCTGATGTTCACAAGTCCATACTTGTTGTGGATTTTAAAAACATCTATTCAATACATGTGTTGTTACGACTGGATTAATTCCTTGCTGTGTCGCAAACTGTTCATTTAGTCATTAATATCTTACATTTGAATTATATATATGAAAACTTACTTCTTTACTATGAAAAATGACTTCTAAGATGTACATGAGTATTCCAACTCCAGCGAAAACACACCCAATACTGAAAATAATCACAGTATACTTCATCTTGACAGTTCTGAACAGCAAACCCAAAAATGTCACAATCCCACTGACCACTACTGTGACAAGGAGAGATATGAGAGAGCAAAACACCTGAATATACAGAAACGCACCCGCGAAGCCAAAAGAGATCAGTAGATACTAGAAACAGATGAAGAATTGTATTAGTAAGTCATATTTAAGAATGCGTAAATTTAGACATATCAGTTCAATGGTGAGTTGCATACAATAGAATTGATCAACTGTCGAAACTAATATTTTTTTCATTCAATCCGATGATACTGACATATTCTTCTAAGGTAGGAAATATGTAACTAAAATCCTCCACCACTGACATTACCTGACAATTAGTATACGGCAAAACATTCTCAATACGTGTTCAAAGTTGTATTCCTAGATGTAAGCTACAATACATGTAATGAATGAGTTATTTCTCAAGAACTTCATTACAAATGCTTTAAATCAATTAACTCTTAACACAGTCAAATGACAGAATAGCTGCCTGACATTATCATTGATTTCATGAATGTCATCACAGAAGATCTCAAATCACAGCAGGCATGAAATCTGGTATTTCAAGGACAACACAATTTCGCCCAATGGAGATACTGCCTTATTCTGTGATGTATTTAATACCGCACAGCTTAATCTACCTAGAAATTGATTGAGTCACTACAAGTGCAAAACCTCTGCAATAAGGACTGACTATCTAACAGACTGACTTCAGTTCTCACTTTTTGGACCTCCAAAAGTCGCGCGAGTGAAGCTAAGTTGAAGGAGCAAGGAAATATGTGTATCACTGGATTCTGATTCACTAAATGTGTTAAATCTGTGTGACATTTCCTTGTCAAAGTGACACACATCTACAACCTGAAATCAACAGAACGCACGTATGCAGTAATTTCAAGTCGTTTGTGCTTTCTCTTCAATAAACTGAGTTAACGTCTATCTAGAGAATGAGGGGAAAATATGAGAAAATGAAGTGAGCTCACTTACACTGATTACGATCAGAAGATGATCAACCACATTTTCGTATTTAAATTTCCTGACTAATATGAGAAGTATATTTGTCAGTATTCCGAATAATCTGAAAAGCAATTTGTACACGTCAGCATAATGATGATTACAGCTTGCGTATTCAACACAGTAATAACAACAGCAAGGAAATAGTCGTTAGTTAGATAGAAGCTGGGTTGCCTTTCCAGAAGAAACCATTAGACCAAAGTGAGAGAAGATATGTCATGAGTCAATGAGTTACGTTAAGAGTGGACGCTTATCACTACTTCACGTAGAGATAATATCCAAAGAATTGCACGATGTTGTGCGTTAATCATTGAGCTACCCAATTTTCTATCCAAAACAATGCACAAAACAATCGAGTACGTCTGTCTCCCGACAAATGTACTCACGCACATTTTTAAATGGCTTTCGATAAACTTCAGTGCATTTCCTGAAAACAGATATAAACGTAACATACGAGATTATCTTACTGCGTCAAATGAGTTACCTTGTGTTGCTATTTTAATGTAGGACCCTGGATGGAGAGAAAACTTTATATATATATATATATTACACTGTGAGTTCTGTACGTTGCGTAATTACTTTTGTCCAGAATGCGGCTATTAATCATAAAGATTACTAAGTAGGATTGAGAATTATATTTGATGTGAATGTTGTCATTTCTTATGTTTCTTTATGTTTCCTAGCCTCATCGGACCACCACATTCATAGGTGGCTCTATCCACATTGATTATTCCTTCGTACTGAGTGAATAACTGCATGAGTAATGGTGTTTCCAGATGTGAAATCCAGACGATAACACAGTGAGTGCAGAAATCAGAAATTCGTAATGTTGAATTACTCACTAGTATTCGTTGCATCAGTGACAATGCAGTCAGCAGACGAAAATGTGATCAATGTCAAGATGCATATGTTGGCGGTGATTACCACATAAAATTCACAATATAAAGACAAATGACAGTTCAAAGTTCTGAAAGAAGTAATATATGGAGTGAAATCGAATGAGCCTCAGTGGTTCAGTGATAGACTGTTAGTCAAACAAACACACATAGTCCGAATTGCTTTCTGGACGACAGGCTCGTTCGTGGGCTAGGTAAGTCAAGTAGCTAGAAAAGAGGAAGGGTTAAGCGTTTGGCTTGCACACCCTATAAGCAACAGCACTGTTAGTGAAACTTTGAGTCTCAGTAGTTGAAGTGACAATGTTCTACTCCGAAGATACATGTTATCAACAAAAGATCCAGAAAAGACAGCGGCAGTCAAAAATATCTTGAAAAACATTGACTTACACGAACAAACCAGGTGCTCTAGTATGCTCAACAAACCATTCAGTGATTATTTCTCTACAGCATAAAAGATTATTAATATTTTATAATACTCAATTTCACGCCTTACGAATTTCTCACCATTAAAACCATGCATACAGTCCCCAAAACAAAACACAATGTATCGACTAACATCTGCATCAAACATTATAGGAACACTGAATATTGGATTTGTGTTTGCTTACCCAAATAAAGTAGAATAGATATCGGCTTATTTTTGTATGAAAAGGCGATTCTTTCAAACTGAGAAATGTTGAACACTGCTCCAGCATATTTCCTTCTCTGCAAATAATTCACGAATGATGATGAAAGTAAAAGTAAAATAACTCATTGTAAAAGTGTACATAAAACAAAATGTTTAATAAGAGAACATACGTGAAACAGACTGTATGAGTCTAATTATGTCTGCAGACACATCGAAACAATTTGTACTGGACTACACAATGTTCAGGAAATAAATAAATAAATATTTCCTTTAATTACTGTCATTAAGGCAGAAAATAACACGGATCAGTTGTGTGACAAACAAAGTAAAATGAAAGACCTGAAAAATGTACTGCTGAATTTGGTGGATTAATTCATTCTGAGAAGGATCCAATCTACTTTTGATCTCCGCGATTTCAAGAAACATGTATTCTGATCAGTCGTTGTCATGCAGGAACATCAATTTGTTAGATTCACTGATATGCTGTTTTCAGAAATATGATGGCTAATAGCTGAAATGTAATTCTTTATATAAGGCATATCCATATACAAATATATGACACCAACAATCTGAATGACAGTGAGTTTTGTGGAAGTCTGGATTTACAATCAAATGTTTGTTATGCACACTGTGAATGTGAATGTTCTTAGATTGCCACCTCTCTTACACAAGTGTATAAGCATTTTGACAGTACCGATTATGAAGTACATCACAATAACGCTAATGGTAATGACACTACTTGCCTATTACAGTTTCAAATTTCATAAATTGTAAAATCAAATTAAATGTTTATTTATATACCATCTTAACATTTTCTAACTGAATAGTTTCATTGAACTTTGATCGTCGAGAAATAACATGGATTCACAAAAGTTTTTGTTGTGAATGCGTGTATGGAGTATCTAGATTCAGTCGACACTTCACTGAATATTATATCGACCATTAATCAAGCGCTATTTTTCTAATGTTTCTTAGAAGCAACTCACATCACATTACGTCTACTAACACATATAAACATCAGGCATCTACTGGCAATTGCAAATAATATTCCTTTATGCTGACTGTTTATACTGTTGCATGAAGGCCATCTCATTTGTATTACACTCCCTGACCATTTGTGCGTATGACGTGATGAAAGACCTCGAAATGTGATAGGTTTTCGATTTTGTGGACAAGACTTTCAGATATAGGCAGCATAAATCAGTTTCAATCCGTGGATGCCATTTGACAATCAAAAAAGTATTTGTGCTTGTTCACTTAATTAGATCATCTTGAAGCCTCACAGGGTAAGCGTAGTTATCTAAAGATGGATCATACATCCATCTAACTTGACGACATGTGATCCTTCAAAACCAACTTTTTCAGAGATTATCAATACTATAATAGCACAACAGATTTTATTCATTTTCTTGAATCTGCTGATCATATATGCATCTTCGGACTTTTGTGACATCATTTTCCTCGTCTTAATAAAGGCTTCTGTTTACATCTTCACATCAAACAGTGTAGATTGTGTGAGGTGTGTAGAGGAAATCATTGTGAAAGTGTACATAGAACAAAATGTTAAATAATAGGACATATGTGAAACAGACTATATGAGTCTAACTATTTATGTAGACACATCGAAACAATTTGTACTGGACTACACAATGTTCAGGATGGAAACAAATATGATGTCAAGTTCAACCAAAATAATGTCAAACAATCAAAGAGCATGTATTCCTATGTGTAAGGATTGAATACTGTCAGGATACTGAGCAATTTGTGGGTGAGATTAAGTCTATTGGACTAAAATTTCACTAACATAATCCAGACAACCACGTCACGTACGACTTGATGATTCCTATTCATCTTAGGTTCTTTGAACTTATAGTAGCAGTACTAGTAGTGATGTGTATTCGAGAAGTATAATTAAAAGCAAACTGACATCTGTAGAGCAGCTGACAAGATTTTACAATTTCGTTCCCATGGACAGAGGAAGTAGTTTAATCCGTTCCCTCTTAAGTCGCGTCTGAGGAATTCGTAGTGCAGACAGTGTTGATGAATAAATTCGACAAAAGAGGGAATTATTCGTGGAGAACGGATTTTCAGTATGATTTGTCAAGACTTATAGTGAATTATATGGAAGAAATACAGTGTGGAATAATGTTAGTTAGAATTTGGTGCATGTTAACTAGGCATTAGATATCAGTTTGATTCTACACGTATATGACACCAGTCCAGATTGTGTCATCATGACTGACATCATATTCAGCTGATAGATAGATGGGTGTAGGATAGAAGGACAAGGTGGCATGCTGTTGAAATCCTGTGTGAATCTGCACTGTTCCTGATGCCAGAAATGACACCTAAACCAAATAGATCTCATGTCACCCTAGACAACACATTCAACTCGTAACTCGATATTCTCATTGATATCGATGCCTTCAAATGTCAAGTCAGTTGACAGTGTCCTCACCAAATTGCACAGTCCATCTCAATTTGAATTTGAATATTTGTTTAAAGGCAGGTTGTTGGCTTGTTCATTGTCCATCACTCTTCTCTCTCACCCATCATCCATTCACACTAATCGATTGATCACCTCTACTTCAGAATTCAACATGCATTCAGATGAATGTAGAAAATAATCACTGCCTAATACTTCATTGATCACATTCAACTACCAAACACGATTCATTCTATCCACCATATTAGTGTTTCTAATGGAAAAATAATTTTACCATACTCGTATTCCTTAGATAGTGTTTGTGGAATTCTATATGAAGATGGATTGTGCGGAAGTGGGAATTTATTGGAAATAATTGTTCCCAGAGGCAAATTCATCCATGAAAATGACATCATATATGTCGAAAACGCTCCTGTCGTTATAATTAACATTTCATCTTCTTTAGACCCTTCATTATTCGTCTTCATATGCAGACTGATCTCAATATGTGGCAAATATTTATTTAAAAATATATCGGCTACTTAAATACACGCTATAAGTAGGTTACATGTGAAGATGGCTGTGACTTATAGTTACAGCTGGCGTGTAATCACGTCTCTACAGAAGCAAATACGCTATTAAGTGTGAGCGGAAAATCGTTGGAAGTGAATGAAACTGCAAAATAGGATTTTATTGTATGGAATTTGATTTAAATCAAGCCTTACATGGTCGCATCGTGTAACTTATATGATAATGAACGGACCAACCAACAACCTATTGCTTAAGAGATGTGCCAAAATAAAATGAAGATGGATTGAAAACACTTTGAGAAGACCGTCAAATGACATCGTGAGCCAGGTAATCTCTTGGACAGAACCTGAACAGGAATGGACGATTAATACCCATTTAGTCATGAAGAAAATAAAAGACAGTTTAGCGAAGAAAATTTCATTTTATTTCGACTTCGTTGAAGAACTGGACATGTAAATGGAGCATGTGATAATCTTCACACTCTTTTCAAACAAAGTTAATTCATGTACTAGATTCACTCTAAATAGTATAATCAACAGTTTGATCTACACTCAGTGGTCATCTTGTGACAAAGTGAGATATAACGTGGCGTGTGGTTAATTTTATGCGATATCTGAAAGAGATTAAAGGAAATCTTCGTAGAAAGCCATCAACAGAATTTCGCACAACGAAAATGTTAAAACGCTTCCAACGATTAAGGGAAGTCAATTTGCATTGATTGTAGTAAGTTAGGAAATTCACTAAATGATGAACAATGAACTCAAAACATTCTGATCTTTCTATTGCATAATACGTTGTTGCTAACCTCTGTTAACTGAGTCGTCTAGAATTCCGTATTTATTTTTACCTCCAGTAATCTCACTGACATAACAACATGATTGGTATTATTCTGATGTAAAAATGCATATATTAGCACAGGAACGTTGATGAGTTGCCAAATAAGAAATGAATATGTTTGTTATTTGTATAAACAATTGTCCCATCACGGGTAGCAATTTGAATAGACTCGATAATTCCCATTCTAACCATACCAGGTATTTTCCCATGTCCCTTTCCAGCCATTTTTATGTTGTAAAGAACTGTTTGTTACTGTCGTTGGGGAAATTTGTGTGCAGCTTTGCAATCCAGTGTAGAGATTGGCTTCTTGCGTTGAGACCATAACACGTCACTTTTAATCATTTCAGACAACATCTGAATTTCCAATCCACTTACACTCATAACCTGACGAAATAACACGATTTCACTATTAATTACCTAACGTTTATACAATAAATCTAATACGGAACTATCTGTGGGTTTCTATCTAAAAAACTAAGCTGCTTTCTTTTCATAAAGAAATTATTCACCAAACCTCTCATCGTTTCCAATATGTAAGCACATCTTTGAAAACCTACCTGTGCTCATACGCATTCTGGAATGGTTTCCAACTTAGAACTATGGGAGGAATATCTCAAAGTGGTTTTCAGTGTTTTACATTTGAATTCACTGCGCCAAGTGATTTACTGTCCATTTATATTTCAACTTCACATTCCTCTCACCAGGTGAATGTCTGCTTGTGAAACATTCTGCATTAACATAGTATCCTAAACAGACCGTTCACATTGTCTTATTCGTTGAACTTTTCAACGTAAAATGAGATGCACAGATGAATAACACTCTACTCATGTTACCCATTGTTGAGTATGATTGGTACATCAGTCTACAAAAAAGAACACTTCTAAGCACTGCGTGTAATATTTCTGGTCATGATTCAAATTATCACTTAAAAATGTATGCGGCTACTTCATTAAACTCATTAAGATAAACAATTCAATGTGAATTATAGTCTTTTTTAGCAATTATTAAACACTTCACAGTGAATGTGATAAATTAATAATCGAAGCTTAGAGAATCAGATGGACATATTAACACTTTAGTTGAGGATTTATTTAAGTCAATCAGATAAGATTTAGCATAAGATGACAGCTTTTTCACAGGAAAGCACTTGAGTTCAAACCATCTTCCGTTACTATCATTTTCTAGTGATTATTGACCGTCTTAAAGGCTTCGTCCGCCGCGCAATCTAATGATACCGGATTTCATGATCCCATGGTTTATGAGGTTTGATACTTGATATTATCATA